AAATAAATACAAATAAGAATAAAATAAAATAAAATAATAAGAAATTATGAAAGTGGAGGAAACCCATGGTAACAACGTGTTAAGTATATATAATTAAGAATAAATTACGCATTTTTTTTTCTTGCCAGATATAATTTCATTCTAAGATGACACCAAAAAGAACCAGTAAAGATCCCAATACACAACAGTCGAAGAAGTCTATCAAATCAAGGGCACCACCATCCCGTTTAGCTAAAGAGGATATTGATTACATAATGTATGCAAGGAATTAAAAGGTGGATCTAAAAAAGTTTTGGAGTGGTATAGAATTGGTATACAAAAGTGTAATAAAATATGGAAGTCTGAGAACCCATACTCATATGCAAATTCAATCGAAGACGTGAACTTACCTAACTGGTACATCAATAATAGTAAATTTGAGAAGGTGAATATATCGCCCGAACTAACATCTCAAATAGATATACCCAAGAAACCCAATATTGTCAATCCTGATCCCATCGAAGTAAAGAGGATGCGAAAACAGGGTGAAATGGAACAAATTGCAAAGAATATTTTTAGATCAGAATTGAGTAAATTAGTGCAAGCTGATGACTAAAATTATATAAAGATCTGGAGACAGATACATAACTAAACCATGCGCTAATTCTATTAATTTTATTCTTAGATTTTTTATTTATCAAATGTAGGGAAAGCGAGTCGACCTACCCATCTACCATATTTATTTTTTCGGTTAGCTTAGAGAATTGTGCATCCAAATTTGAGATAGACTCTTTCGATCTTGAGAATGAACTGAGATGTGGAAAGATAGAAGAATTGGTACGGCTAAATGAAAATGAGTCAGGTCATTCTAATTCTCGCTCATGTCAAAATAAGAGTAAGAAATGTGGAGTCAAGTATTCCACAGATTCGAATACTGACACTTCTAATACAAGCACTTCTTATTCCCCCAATTCAGGTTCAGAAGGTGTATGTAAGGTCACAGTTGTAAAAAAAGCGAAAATGTCACAAGAAATAAATTAATCATTTGGTAAGTTTATTAATAGACATATAAAGCGTGACTTAGATTAACTATTTTTACGTATTACGTTTTCATTACCTGTGATCGAAGCATATGTTTGAGATAACGTGGATGCAGAGGAATAAGCACTTTACAGGTTAGATCCACATGTTTTTGTGCGACCCAATT